ATTAGTGCAATGTTGCAGTGACTCTGCTGATACACTCACTCAATTTTCAGGGGTCTGTGGCCCAGGATGTTTGTGAGACAATTGTGCTGTTTGTGCTCAAAAACCTTTTAGGCATTTGCTTCTGTACCTGTATATAATTGCTCTTTTAGCTCATGTAAACGGCTATCCACTGTGCCCTGCAAAAAGCATTCTAGATTGTTTTGCTAGCCCTATGAACTATTTTGTTTTCTTGGATTTAGGCTTGGTACCTCACCACTTCCACTCATATTCCCTATTTCTCGTACAATTCCCTCTTCCCTTGCCTGTAATCCATGGCTGAAAGATCTCTACACTGCTGTTAATGTCATGTCTCAGTGATGCTGGGACAATGGCACATCACCTCTCAGATCCCTTTGCTACAAATTTCTTTTCACATGATTAACATTCAGACAAGTTGTTCTTTGTGTTCCTCTTTCCTACAGCTCAGTGAGAAGTATGGTCCTGTCTTCACGATATACTTAGGCCCAAAAAAGGTTGTAGTGCTGTATGGCTATGATGTGGTGAAAGAAGCACTGATTGATCAGGCAGATGACTTCAGTGGAAGAGGCACTCTGCCACTGATTACAAAACTCTTCCGAGGCACAGGTACGTCCTTGGTAATGTTAGCATACAACATGGGTGGTTTTGGTGCTCCAGGAACACAGCTGAGAGGGCAGTGGAGAGGCAATGATGGATTTCATTTACTATTTCCATGCAGACAAATTAACAATTAAAGAGCAAAAGCCCAACTCCTTACTTGGACCCTTGACTAAATTAGTCCTCAGGAGACTTGTTTAAGGTCCCAAGATGGTTTCGCTGAGTGTTTTTCTGTTTTCCACATACTTCAAATTCTGGCTAAAATTTTTGTTCACTAAATGTGCCTCTAAGGTCTTACTTCATTATCCCATTTCTGAAAATAAATATACACACAGCAAAGCAAAGTCCGCAGCACAGCAGAGATAAGATAATATAGGCTGACCCAGTAAGGGCCACATTCAAGATTAGTTTGTGAGATTATTCACCAGGTTAGTCCTCATTTATCTGGCTGAGTAGTATGTATTCCATGGTATCATATACGTGCAGTATCAACAGTATTGTCAGTAATTATAGGCTGTGTGAAGGTGTGTAGCAGAACATTTGAGCAGTTACGTCACTGCAAAGGCCACGTACTTGTGGCCAAGACCAATTCAGTACAAGTGTTACCTTGTTCCTTCCCTCCTAACACAGTTTTTCTTATTCTGGGAATAAAGCCAGTTTTACTCAAAGTCCTGTGACTGATGGATCAAATTCATCACCTCCAGAATTGCAGAGGTTATGTTTTTGGGCCCATAGCAATTGCAGCATAACTCCACAGAGAGGTGCCTTTGCATATTGAGTACTTTACTGTGTAGCTCCCATTCAGGGCAAAAAAAAATGTTTCCTCACCAAAGTCTATTTTTCCTCCTTATGTCAGGCATTGTGACCAGCAATGGGGAGACCTGGAAGCAGCTCCGACGATTTGCACTCACCACCCTGAGGGATTTTGGGATGGGGAAAAAGAGCATCGAGGAGCGAATCCAGGAGGAAGCTCATTTTCTGGTGGAGAGGATCAAGAACACACATAGTAGGATAACGCCTTTGTGTCTGCTGGGGCACCATGCATATCTGTAATGAGACAATGAGAGGTGCAGAGCTCTGTGACCCAAGGAGTAGGCATATGGATGCTGTTTCTGTTTCCTGCTTCAGTAGGCAAAGTTGGGTCTGTCAAAGGCACTGTGACAGTATGAAGGATAAATGTAGGAGACAGGGTTGGAAAGCATCCTTTAACCTGTTCTGCTTAAGGAACAAGGCAGGAAGTGGCAAAAGGAAAGGCTTTGCCACAAAGCCAAGTGTTTGGTGGAATTCAGCCATGGAGACAGGGATGTATGCTGCCAGGTAACTAAGCAACATGCACTTCCTCACCTTGTCTCCTGCAGCTCTATGTAAACAGATCCTAAAGAAGTAGGTGACCAGAGAACTCATTAACAAATATTTGACTTTGCATCCATTCCATCTGAACACTAGATAATACCTCCTGGTATTGGTGGGGCTGTGCAGCGGGAACAGGGACTATAAGCTGCTTTTGAGGACAGGGTATAAGACATATAAGTCAATGTTACTTCTAAGTACTTCCCCTGAGAGTGGCACAGTACCAGCCCAGACCCCAGGCTTCCATTCCACAGCCAGCCCTCAATGGGTGCTAATTCTGCAAGGGGGGGAAGGGCCAGATGGACCTAAAAGAGTGATGAAGCATCACTGTTTCCCACGGGTTACTAGAAA